AAAAGAAAAATATATACGTATGTATATATTGGTGGATTCTTTGAATAAACCTCTTGTATAAAATATAGAAATTATGAATTATTCTATAATTCATTTGTGTCAGAAAGTTTAGTTCTCAAAAGACTCTTCTCGATATTTCCAGATGAGTTTTAATTGTGAAAGAGAGAAATGTGTCTTCAACATTGGGCTAGGACAGCCATGTATCGTTGTCAGGCAAAGGAAAGCTTTTTTTCCACAGTTTCATGAATCCATTGCCAATGATTTGGGATAGCTTTATTTGATGTAGAATTCAATTCTGCATCAATTAATATGCTACTCATGAACCGAACCCATATGTCAAAAGAGCAATAGTCTTCTAAAACATGGTACTTTCCATATAGGGATGCTACTATCTAGAAAAGATACTTTTTTCTACACTGGATGAGAATATTGCCGGTGAGTTCTAATAGGGTGTGGATGTGGAGCGTTGGTTTGGAGTGTGAATGTGGGTTTCAGACATGACTGTAAGGACTTGGTGTCCATCTTGAATCATAGTCACACCCACACCCATTATTCGAATGAATCGTAACACACTGGGATCTGAACTACGAGTATTTAGTTCAATTTCGGGTAGAGCCTTCTTTTATCGAAGTTGCGTAACTCAATGTTTTTTGCAACTTGCTAAACTCAAACTTTTCCAAATTGCGCAACCATGATTTTTTTCTACCCATTGCTTACTCCATACGCTTTTCTTCTCCCAGTGAATCAACGCAGTTTGTACAAGAGGTACGAGCGTGTGGGTGTGGGGTGTGTGTCAGCCTTCAGTCGATTTACACCTACACTTCATCCATACCCTCCTATGATGAAATGCCTAAGAGTTTATTCACAAATTAACGCATCTAATACCCTATAATACACATACTGCTAGATGGTGTCCCTAGAACATACAGGGTGGTCTACAAGTTACCCACCAGTCAGTTTTTGGTTGCGAATAACTTTTGATAGGAACAGGATAGAGAGCTGCGGGTTTGGATGTGGGTGTAAACAGAATACCCACAGCTATATCCACACCCACACCCACACCCTTTCCCTTTGTTTTGCTTTGACCTATGACAGGTGCTGTGGTAAGACGTCTTCCACTATGAAATTAGAAATAATGATTGCTACTGTTGAATCTATCATTCATTGTTGAGCATGTATTTGTATAACTAAATGCTAATAGTTTTGAAACCACATATTCATAATTTCTTCAATCGATAGGATATTAGGCAAATAGCCTGTATTGTAAGCTCCTCTGACTATATAGTTATTCGACAGAAACATGTGTTTGTTATCTCGTGTCAGAACGTTGCTACCAACTCAAAAGAGTGTGAATGGGTGTAGGTATCGGTATGTGTGTGCCGGCGGGGAAGTAGATGTTTGGAAGTAGCACAGAAAAAGCTTCACAGCCACGCATATATTTCAAACGGATATCTATTTACATACCTACACTCATATTTTTGTTTTGATGCATTATCTAAAATATGACAGCGTATATCAGAACAGGCCGTTGGGAACGATCGTCATATGCTTTGTTAATGCCTGTGGCAGATAGGCAGATGGTTTCACTCTCATTATAGATTAAAACTTAGTAAAGTTAGAAGTAAGCAAAACACAAAACGATGAGAGGAGAATATACAATGTTGTTCCTTATGCTCAAGTAAGTAATAATGTGATATGGCATTAGAATAATTATAATATTGTGTTTATTTCTAGTTTGTTCGGTATAGTTTATTTTGTATACATTTTGACTTATTCACCTGACATTGATTGAATAGGCCTAGTCGAAGCTGAAATATGCCAAGATGCCACACAATATGCTTTGTGTTCGGCGAACGTCGAATGCGGCTGTTTTTCTCTAGCTACTTCAGATAATAACTTTATATGTGCTTATCTTCATCTCACTTGTTCCCATTTAGTTTCTTGTGCTGATAGTGATCGGACTTGTCATCAGGCTGGGCATGTGTGTGTGAATCATCCGCGATGTAATAATGTTCCGATGTGTTATCCAACAGACATGGCCACTCAAATCATGTGTCCACCCCTAATAAGTAAATCGTAATAGGATTTCATCATGCTTTTTACTGCGTTGCCTAGTTCCAAATTACTTTATCGCCATACTATAGAAACTTTTCCTAGATGAACGAACCCTCAAAATGCATTCTTTAATTTCTTAAATGCGTTTTTTCATATAACGAAATCTACAATAAACGTTTTTGACTCAAGAAACCTGAAAAAAATCTTTGTTTTATTACCAATACTAAAACTCATTAGGGTTCATCAGAGCTAATGGACCTCTTTAGTGTCTATCAGTGTCAGAAACCCATCGACCAAAGGTGTTTCAGATAGAGAAATAATTTGATCATCTAAGGAGCTTGGTCATTGATAGTATTTAAAAGGGTTAGCTAGTCTAGATGAGCCGTACTCGTTTTCATCATTTGCAATAAAGAAAAACCTTTTGAGGACTCTGAAGTCGAAAACATTTATTGTAGGGCTCATTAAATAAACAAACACATAATGAGTGGGACAACAAGAATTCCAATATCGACATTTTCACCATTTCTCATCTGTCATATACTCGATCGAGCAAATATTTTTACCCATAGATTCCACGTTGAATTCTGTAGAAAAAATGTATAGGTAATTTCATCGGAGAATCTACAGGAAAAAATGACTGCAAGGATTGTGCTAAATACCCAAATATGAATAAAAACAAGTTAAAAACAGTTTTTATTAGTCCTGTTCGTAAAACATTCGCACACGCGAAAAACTGAAGTATTTATTTCGTGCGTCTTACTTGCAAGGCTCTATTATTCACTTGTAATTTGTAAAGATTTTTAGTGAGATGAAGTGATCCAATAAACGTAATTGTTAGCCAATTTTTCTGAAAACATAACGATTTTTCAGCAAAACTTACGCTTTTTTGATAAAGAAAATAATATTTAATTCAATTTTATTCATGCACATTATTTTTATGGTAACTGACGAATCGTTATCATCGAATGTCTTAAATACGCACCAAAAAAGATATGTTGTGCTCCACCACGTAGAAATCGTAAAAACTTTTCTATTTTCGCTTGGTGATTGAGAATTCAATGGTTGCATGGGTTATTTTCATTCAAACTACTTTCCCTCTACGACATTAGCAAGAAGATTTCTTAAACTATTTAAAAAACATTCCAAATGTGTTCTGATAGTTTTGAAAGCATTGAAAAATCGAGTTCTCTTTGGTCGCACAATTCTTCATGCCACTCGTCTCCTCTACATTTTCAATAAAACAGCCCAGAGACTTTTTTGTAGAGAATACAATGCCCAATCTTTTAATTAAAACGTTTCCTCGATCAAGTATATACCAGAGGAGAAAAAGTGAAAATAATGGTAGCGCAATTCTTTCTAACTCACCTATTGAGAGAATACTTAAGAGAGGGGCCTCCGAGAATAGTGACAAAGCCAGATGAAGACCGATTCTTGATTTAGAATTTAAACATAGTAGAAAAGAAAGAGCACTATGTCTCAGTACTTATTGGAAAAGAATTAATCTTATCTAGTGTACCCTTCGAGAGTTGTCTTGGAGGGAACTGAAAACATTCCCAAATCATTTCATAAAAAATACATTTTTTAATGTATTGGCATTTGTCGATTTTTATTTGTACGACTTTATCATTTATGTATCATGTTATGGCAATAGATAGAGCTCTATTTGTTCTAGAAGACCATATATCTCTTCTCGCCACTATTCTTTTTTTGACGTCGTAAAACATCATTAATTCAATGAATCCAGCATTTTCAATATTCAGGTCTTATTGTAGGTGTGAATGTGGATAAGTGTGGGTGAAGGATGCGGATGTGAGATCTTCATGTTGTGTATTCGTGTGTCTACAGATGTGCGTATTGGTGTGGGTGAGTGATTGGAGGTATAAATCTTCTTACTCTCAATGAGCAATGCTCACTCAGCCACTCAAATTGACACCCACAGCCTGTGTTGCATATTAGAATCTGAAAAATTTGTGGATGTGGGCGAATAGACGACCCACACTCATGACCTATGTCCACATCCAACACAATCCTACTGTTTCTCTTATTTTTCTATGATATCGTTGATTTTTGAGAATCGCAATCTTAAAAACAATACATCTGTTTTAGTTTCAATGTCTAGAATATGCTGTTGACCATGATATCTATTTTCAAACGAAATGTACAATAGAAAACAATTGATTTGCTCCTTTCAGCAAATCACTGTCATTAGTCAAAAACTTCTATAATAATTATTTGCGCATTGTTGTTCTATTACAAAGAATGAGACACAAAAGCATGAGTTACTTCAGTCTCTTGATCTCGTACCTACAGCTCATATCCTTCCTCCCTCGCAAATGACTTGACATTTCGAGAGATTTCCTCTGAAAGCAAAACACTCTTTTGAAAAGCTTCTTTCACGGGTATAAATTACAACTAGCATAAGTCTCCTTGAATTCACCTCACCTTTTAAAGAGCTTTGTGCTCTGTTCGAAGGAACTCTTCATTTATTGATCATGTATTTATTAGCTACGACTACTCCACCTGCCGAAAGCATAGTTAGTGCCTTCTGGTCATTTGACAGGAATGCACTTGAACGGTATAATAGTGGTCTCGATGGTATTGTCGTCGGCTGTCCAACCTATACTACCAGTTTTGCCGGATACGGCGCTGCCATCCAATTTACTCGGTCCTCTACTCAATATATTTTTATTACACCGAAGGTACTTCCGATGAATTCACGTAATTTCACAATCGAAGCATGGATCTATCCTATTGGTTTTTCCAATAGTATTGACTATGGAATATTCGGTCAATGCCAAGCAACAAATAACAACTCGTGCTTATACTTCATAGTTCGTAACAGAAAATTATATGGTGGATTCTATGGTAACGATATACAGGGTGCAACCACCCTAACAATGAATACATGGCACCATGTAGCTTTTGTCTATGACTCAACCGCGACGATGCAACAAGTGTGGCTTAATGGTAATCTTGATGGTTCACGTTTGGCCAGCGCCTACGATGGTCTATGGGAAATAACAACTATTGGTGCTACTTTTCAATTAGGCAAAGCAACTGGTTTCAATGGTTACATAGACAACGCACGATTTGAGGCTAGAGCTAAAAATTCGACTGAAATTCTGGATGATGCCACTCTACATGTTTACTACTCGTTCGATGATGGTTCACTTACCGACAACGGTCCTAATGGTATCAATGGAACTGCTTCTGGACGTTTATCAAGTACAACTGGTCGAGTTAATCAAGGACTGGAATTTAACTCAGGATCCTATATGTACTATTCATATAATCCATTTTACTTTTTAGGTATCAGTGGTTATCCATTTAGTATAGCCTTGTGGGTAAAGCCAGCAGGAAGTTATAGGCGACAAACACTTGTGTTCGTAGATAAATTAAATGATTGGTGTGCTAACCTTTTGGTAATAACATCGTTTGGACAGTTAGTTGCCATTGGTTGGAATGATGCAACTGTAGCTGCAAATGGTCCCATCCTTCGATTCAACATTTGGACACATGTCGGCTATACTTATAGTACAACCAACGGTATTCGGTTGTATATAAATGGTCGTCAATACTCAACGACAGGTTCTTTTAGATTCGTGAATTCTGGTGTTCCGATGCGTATCATATTGGGTGGAAATAGAGCTGTTCGCCAATATACACGATCACTTACCTATTGAATCATTATCATCTATAGATCCATCGATCGACGTAAGATTTGAATATTCGAAATAGGGGTCTAACTACGTGCTCTCCAGGCTACGGAGGTGCATTTACTGGTGCCCTCGATGAATTTTATCTTTATAGACGTGAATTAACAGCAGCTCAAATTTGGGCATTAGCCAATCCTTAAGCTGATACTATGAAGCTTACTGTCAACATTGACTACTATAACATTCATATTCCTGAATTGATGAAAGAGTTTTCCATTAAGTTAAACCTCTGTAGGTTGCAACGGTGAATCCCTACTATGAATAACATTTCGAAAGCATTGCATATACACTATTACAATAGGGATACTACCAAAATAGCTGTGGTGTGTGTGGATGTGCAGTGCAGTGTGGGTGCGGATGTGGGTACGGGTGTAGGCGTGAGTGTGCGTGCGTGTATCAGTGAGGGTGTGAGTATAGGTGTTGGTGTGGCTGTGAGTATGGGTATGAGGAAAAAGTACTTTTACACTCACACCCACACCCACACCCTTGATCTGATCTTGTCTATATGTTTCAATATCAAACCAAAGCAATTTCATTGGTGTTTCCATGCAGTGACCGATTGCTGATAGCTATAGTAATTCATATTGCCAAGGTCAAATATGTTTTGATAGCGAAAAGCATAAATAAGAGAAAAAATAGCAGCATTATATGAATTTTCGACAAGATGCACTGTTCAACAACGAATACTTCTGAGAAGAACCTTTGATCTGTAGTCAAACTAGAGAAAAGCTCGATTCTTAGGTGAATCCTCATATTACTGAACTGATTTCATGTAAACAATCAAGTTTATCCCATAAGAACATGTATTAAAATTTTTTTTCTACTACAATAAGTAGTTCACAAGATGAAGATTGACTTAAAAATCATAAAACTTTTAAAAATTACCAATACGTTAAAGTAGTTACATAGTTGTTGAGTATATTAGACAAATCATATAGCTTGCTATTCAGTGATACAATGACAAGTATAATCCCAAAAAAGAATGTTCTTATTCGTAAACTCTTATCAAAATCAGAATTCTTAATATTTCTATTGTCTCTTATCATAAGATTAAAGTCTTCATAAAATTCACATGTGACTCATATGCCATAGACACAGTTTTCTTTTGACTATTACTTGAAAGTGAGGTCGCCGCTGAAGCCAATACCCTGCATGATCAAATGGTGATTGAATATTGCGACGGTCATGTTGATGATTCAAAAAAATGCTCAATCGAAGTCGTAAGTATTTAAGATCAGGTAAATATTGTTCGATCAATGTTTGCCACGCTTTTGGCTCGAGCATTGTCTTTGTATTTTCACGAGCTTTGAGTTTGAGTATTAAATGTGTTAAATGTGGACATAAAACAAAGAAATAATTGAGTAGTTCGAATGAACGCAAATATTGTAAATTCAGATTCAGATGTTTTAGTTTGGGGAGGACACTATTGAATGTATAAAGATGTTTACCCCAATCAAAACCGTATAAATGTGCTTTTAAACGACCAAGATTAGGTGTATGACGCAAAAATATTAGCATTTGATCAGTTGATATGTATTCAAAATTAATATATTCGACAGTGGGTAAATCGAACGAAAGTCGATTGATATTCCATCGATTGAACTGATAGGGAACATGTAAGCGTCGAAGACGATTACGACCGGCTCCTAAAATTATCGACCAAACTTGTTCATACATATCGATTGCATAGTCATGGCAATCCATTTTTGTAATCTTGATCGATTCAAGTTGTTGCATTGGTAACCATTGAATAAATGAAACTAATTTTTGAAGCCTTATTGATTGAAATGTAACAGCCCGAATGGTGGAAAAATTTAAATATGAATATAAATTGTTCTGTACATCTTCATCATTACTCGACACTTTTAATGATCGACACTTAAATACATCATCGTGAAATTTATTTTGGTTTATTGTCGTCGATAAATCAACGTATGCTGGATAATTTTGAATGATATTATTCAAGCGTTGTTTTAGTCCAAAAAAAGCTTGAAATAGTTCAGTGAATGATAAATAATCGAATATTTCCAGAAGCAAATCAACGCTCAGGTCGTCAAAACACGTCGTCGTCATCTAACACGGTTGTTTTTTTTTTGCTAATGATCAGGCGCAGTCAAAAAAGAACGCAAATAAAAGGAAAAAAACATGCCTTCGTTGACGACTTATCGTTATACACGTGTTGATAGAAGCATAGTTGCGATAAGTGTCAATGATTCATCACTGACTTGATTTTGATGTAAAAAAGACCTTTTTTTTTGACGAAATAAGGTGCTTTTTAAATGAAGTCAATTCGAATGAAAATATAGTTGTCCAATCAAGATGGCAGAAATACACACTATTTGATGGTATAAAGCTAGTGTTTCTCTAAGGAAGCCTTTATTCAAATGAAACAAAATTTCATCAGTTCAAAAGGACTATGCAATCAGGAAGCGTATCAAGTCTAAAGTTCTGCGAAATATCGAAGTATCAAGCGAAAGACAATCATTGAGTGAGAAAACAGTTTGAGCTTATACAGTATTTCCCTGTGCCACGTATTTGTCTCGACGAAAACATAGCATCCAAGCAGCTTTTATTCGACGCAGAGACACATTTTGCATGAGCTTCTCTCGAGCAGCACCTTATGTAAAATATGATGAATGACAAGAGAGGGAGCTATCCATCAATACTAACTGAAGCCAAGAAGTTGCAACCTAACTGGTCATTCTATGCCATCGATCAGTTTTATTAGCAAAGATTAAATTTTCTGAGAACAAAATCCATACAGTCAGTTGTGGTCTTGCCTCGAAAAGTTCACCATAATAATTAATCAGTTCAAATCAGCAGAATTGATTCATAAAGACAATGATGGAAAATTGAAATCTCTCACCATAAGGATCTATATCAGCGACATTTACCTAACAACATCAGCTACTACTCCAAGTAAGTTTACATTGATCATTACACTATCGATATTCTTTATTATCATTATGGCTAATGCATTACCACAAGCACTGAAATTGATGAATGCTAATTCTAATACTTTGGTATTAGCATCGAAATTGAAATTCTTACTTCGATAATCATTTGAAAAAAGTTGGCTAATATTGCATTAATTTTCAAAATAATCACTAAAACAATCATTGTAATTTTGATGCCTATGGTAAAGCATTAAGGTTTCTTAATGTTGCACTGCAGATGATTAAATACGTTTTGCTCTATCATATCGGTAGTTGCAGCGTTTTTTCAGCCTAAAAATGATATAATTTCTTCGAATAGAAGCATTAAGTCTTCATTGTGTATGATTCGAAGTCCTTCTACTTCTATAAAGATATTTTTGTCAAGTGATTAAGATTGTCTCGAAGGATACGTAGATAATGTCACTGAACGACGGAATAGTTCGAAAAGTGTTCCTATCGTAAAAATTCATACTCAATCGTACTTGATTTCCTATTTTGCCATTATCTTGAGAGCGGCTACCTTTCTAAAACTTTTTTGTAAATTCAAAAATGTTCGAATCCTGTACCATAGTCGTGCTTTTCCAACACAGACCGATCTAAAACTCTAAAAAATGATTACGGCCTCAATGCAACATTCATACTTTGAGAATACATTCGAGGCACGTGATGAACATCCAATTTGATCTCAATGATTTTCTTTATGTTCGTGAGAAATACTAACAAATAGACTTACATTGTCGAAATAACATTGGTAAACTATGCTATAGATAGAATACCGTTCAGGATCTCGAGTCCATTTTTGTTACCAATCTGAATCAATGCACCAGAAGCTTCAATAATTAATAAGATAAATACGAATTATCCTGGTGGATTTAGAATTGAAAAGACTAGAATGTATTAGATGATTAACTCATTCTCTATATTATTGAGAAAAGGAACACGTTTAGATGAATAGTTATTACTTCAAAACGTAGAATTTACTATGAACACATTCAAAGCCAGAAGGTTGAAGACAGAATGTTATTGATCACAGTAATTTAATCAGTTAATATCAATCTGATGAACACTTTTTATTGAAGACATCCCACAAGATAAAATCTTAGTAAAAATCATATTTCTTTACAGTATAAGATTTTCTGAATGATAAGTCCAATAAAACACTCATAGACAATTTTAAAACAATAAGAGTCATGTAATATAGTTCTAATTAAATCGACTACAGTAAAAACAATAGAACTTACATGACTAATATTGAACTCAAATCTTTGAAGTAAAATTAATATATAAATTGTGGAATGTCTCAGACGAAAGATATACCAATGAGCTATAGACTTTCATCAAGTGTCTAGTGTTGAGTCTTATCATTATTTTGAATGTATCTCATTATATTTTCAGTTGAAAATGAAAAACAATTAATTATTTCTACATAAGATGCCACTGATCCATTTTATCTATTGTTTCTCTAGCAACCAAATTATTTGTTTTACTTATATTTATAGATTAGCAGATGTTTTCATACATTAAATGTGTGGATTGTAAAAAACATCGATTCCTATTGCAAAGTTATTTTTGAACTTCATGACAAATAATTACAATCTTACTATAATTCTAAAGGATGGAAAAACTTATAATAAAACATGTTCAATAACATTTAATCGTGTTGTATCGTTGTTTTGTATAAATTGTACAATATTGACATAATTAGACAAGTTAACAAGATGTGAAAGATTATTAAGATATTTTTATCAATCATCATCATCTTTCTTAGACAACAAAAAAATTTTTCTAGTTTATTAATCGATTATAAAAACAAAGTGAACTAGATGCTATTGATATTTTGGGATGGAAGAATAGTAAGTAGTTGAATAATTGGTTTTGTTGTCTTCTTTAACATCGAAAATTACATTTGATACTGATAAAAATTACGACTGTGATCATTAAGATTCGACATGTTTGTCGATCGCATATCGAATGAATCATTATTTGTAACAGATGATATATTATGTTCGTGTCATATTTTCAAACGATTATAATTCAGTGTCCATAAATGAATGACTAAAGCTCGCAATATTTTGACTAATTAAAATCTACAATAGAAATCTTAGATGCACAGAATAACGGCTTGGAAGACTCTAGAAAGTTCTAGAATAGTTTAAACACTGTGATTCTTGACGCATCTTTCCCGTCAGTAGGGAAACGTACCCAAAAATTGTTGGCTTCGCCCCTTTCACCCTGGCTTGAACTTACACTCTCAATTTTCTTCGAGAAATATACGTGAGTTCTACAATAAAACATTTCTTTACTATTTGTCTAGCTCTGTTTATGTGGCTTACATGAAAAAAATGGAAAATCTGGCATACATCTTCATCTACTAATGCAACACAGTCAAGATATTGCTGAATAAAAAATTTCAAATGACTATATTTTTCCATCGTCGTCAATAATAAAGAAAACTCATCGACGAGAATATTAGTCTATATTCAATTGTATCTATAGCGACGGACATAAATTTTGAGCAGCTGTATTTTTAATTTTTCTTCTTGATGGTAATAACTTGCAAGAATCCCAAAAAATATCTATGTAGCTGAAAGGGTTCTCTGTTAAGATTGAGAGGTTCGAAGACTTGAACAAAACTGTTCGGATACAGATGATAGAGCAAGATAAGATGTCTCTGACCTCTCTATGACCTTTCTTCATTGAACGGCATCAAATTTACAGAAGGATCAAGGAGCATTTGTCTCTTTCTTTTCGTCGAAAACTTCCATGTTTGACACTTTAGAATCTTGTGTAAATTAAATGCAGTTCGATGAAGGAAGGTCATGAAGATGTCTTATTTTTCTATATCAAATAAAATCGTTTCTCAAAAGCTTTAAATGAAAGCCATAAGTCTGGTTTTTCATAGATCTACACTGAAGACTGTTTACAATGAAAGTATTTTATTAATTAAACAGAAATAGAACAAATCAATCTCGTTAAAGAATTAAAGAAAGATTTATCAGCTGGATCATCTCAAAAAACTATTCTATACTGGAAGATATTATTCTACTTTAAAAAAAAACATACTTTGAAGAATAAATTGATACGATGCCTGAGACTGAAGTTTCCACACGTTATGTGCCAAATAAATCTTCACAGTTTTCTAAATTACGCAGTACACTGGCACCGTTTCTTTGAAACTAGCAAGAATTATTTTATTTTGAAAGTAGTACTAGTTTTGCTGTTTTTATGCTTCAATCTAATAGAATTGATGTTGTAATTATATTGATTTTATTTCATTATCTAAATAAAAGAATTATTACCGAATCACTAGTTGTTTTAACGAACGACTATAAATAATCTATGACTGAGAGAATATTGACAAATATCTTAAAATCTTTGAGCATCAATGTACTAAGTACGGTTTTTTTCTAATTCTTTCACTTTTATTTTGTATTAGCCAACAAAGTAGGATGAAATGAGATTTTGGGATAATATCAAAGTTCAATTTAAAACGATTATGACAAAGATAAGTATTTGTGATAATATCAAACTGTTGGCATACATGATAGAATGAAACAAAAATAACCTATTGATGGAAATGGTCAAAAATATGAGAAGTTCAGCAAATAGTCTATTACTAAATAAATGAAATCAATCGTATCAAGATCAATAAACAAGAAAAAAAATATAAAAAGTGATTTTCAAAGTTCATTTCTTAGTGAATATTCACATATTCTTTTTTTTAAAAAGGATGAAATTCAGAAACTTCTTTGATGATCTTCAAATATTATATGTAGACAAATGATAGGAAATGTTTGACGCATGACAAAGAGAATCACAAATAGCACCTCAGTGGAGTGTGAATGTGTTCTGCTCTAAAGCGACACCCATACCCATGTCTCATCGCTCCTTCGGATCCAAGTATTCATAAGTGAAGAAAAATCTAGAATCTATCTATGCACTATTTCATATTTTCCTTTGTTTATCAGAACAAAAGATAAATTATTCTAAAAATCACTCAACACATTTTTGATAGAATTTTATTCTGTATAGAAACCTTTCATGAACATGGAGCCAGCCTTCTGGTATATGCGGAAATCCAAGATAATTGGAGTTTTTGTTTTCGAGAGTATTTCTGATCGATTTCTTAAATATTCTATTATTTTGATTTAAACACATTATTATAATCAAGAGTATAACGGATGAAAAAAAGCATTCTCCTCTTTATTTTAAGTAAAAAAAATATATATATAATTTCTATGTATTGAAATGTTATTTTGTTAGTACAAATTGATCAGCAATACTACCATAACTATTATGATAATATGTAAGATGCAAATAGGTTTGATTAGCAAATATTGTTGTATACCCAAATTGTCGATCATGATATTTACTCCAGGGAATCCTCGAATAAAATCCAGAATCTAAGTTTTGATCGGCCATACCAATTAAAAGCTGTTTTTGATATATCGGACATGTTCATTCATATGAATGGCAGTGTGCAAAAAGATTGACATCAATATGATATTGACAGAACAATGGTTCTAAGTAGAATTGTGACATCATTGTAATTCCATGCTCTTCAATCGATTCTATTTCTGATGTATATACTTGTCGACGTGAACTAACAATAAGCCATGGAGTACGAGAACGATTAACTGAACGAAGATCTTGTTCAATCCATATGTATTGAGGTGATAGTCGACGAAAATCATGTTCAGTTGAATAATAAATTATATGTATTGAACCGACATCAAAACTATACCAAAATTAGAATGCCCAACAACATTTTTTTGGTTTTAAAGACAAACTCACCATCTTAGTCTAAATCCTCCAAGACCTGATGCGTTGCTTGAATCTTTATCTCTTTCTATGATATGATCATATTCATGATTATCAATGCCGACTATATAAGGCACGCGAGCAACTATTGGTTGTATCTGAGTCGTAAATGCATCCCGTAGAGCGCCAATACCTCAAGCATAACTAATATCATCAATATGTAACAAATAAGTAATCTTTATTGATATGATTCGTGTCATTACTCGATCGATAGTTGACTTAGTACCGAGTTCTACTGGTGATAAACCCATATCACTATATGCAATCCAGATTACTGCTTCATTTTTAGTTGCAGAACGACTTGTAAATGAATAGATTGATGATCATCCATGATCATTATTTCCAACTTGATAAAAATAGGTTGTTGATGGACGAAGATCTTCTAATAAAATCGTATGGATATATCTTGAATCAATGAATTTCTGTGCACCCCATAAAATTGCTTTTTCTTCACACACGTCTGATGTTGTATATATCATTGTTGTTCCATTTTGATAAAACTCAAGTGTGAATGGATCGAATCCATATTGATATTGAGAAGTATATTGAGATGAATTAGTTACATAGGAAATAAATATTTGATCTAATCGATTCTTCTCAGATTAATGAAATACATAGGTTAGCAAATACTGTTCAAAGCAATATTTTAGTACTACATTGAAGAAGATATGGCAGATTCGATATGCAAGAGTTTCGATTTATTAGTAGACAAAAAAATACCTCTCAGTGTCTGTGAATTTTGAACAGGGCGCATAGACATATCTCTTTCATCTTCATGCTTGAGAACGATAAGTTAATAGATTTTCTTATGCAAGTGAACTTAAAAAAACAACAATATTTTCCGTCAGTGAGAAGAATTTCAGCAAAATAAATGCCAACGAAATCTTCAATACATGGAACTAATGTTGGTGTCCAAGTTATATCGATCGCTTCATTGCTAGCACAGACCGTAGCTGATGCATTGAAAGTCGCTACAGTCATAGTTGTTGAGAGAATTGAAGAAAAACTCTAGCCAGAAAAAAAAGTGCAAGACTCGATTTTGATTTCATTGCGGACATTCTACATAATTGACAAGAACACAAAAAAATTACATATGATCTAAATGCTCCGCACTCTTCTTTCATTTTGAAATACAGAAAGACTACGTTTAATAAAATTTAATATGAACAAGAAGAAAGAATACCTCTGCCTTTCGGCTATCTTGCGGTATAGGACGTCGCCTAACTTCACATTTAATAGCTCGATATCTTTCTTACACCTAGCACTCTCAATAGATTTGGACAGAACATTGATCTGACACAAAGCTTTTACGCTCAATCGCTTGAGCATTCCACATACAGTGACTGCCCATATACTAAACACGACGGTAGATATATGTTACAACATAGTTAGCATGCTATCGAACAAATGATACGAGATAAGCAGCCATTAGTGACTTGTGTAGGGCCATCTCATGACTCATGGTATCGTAGAGCATTTTCGACCTTTTAAAGAAGAAGATCAATATTATTAGGGAAAAAAGATGGAAAATCTTGATCAAAATGAAAAACAATTTACATTCAGTTGCATAGTGGCATAAAGAAACAATACCTATTTATGTGCGAATTATCTAATTTGGAAAACATTGATGCATTTTACCTATTTGATGAAGCATATAAGCATGTGACAAAGGTATTTATATGCCGTGCCTTTTTTTTCTCTTCTAGCAATGCTTCGCAAAAATAGTTCGAAATGTAGATCCTGTCATTTTTCTTTATAAGATATATATCCCGACTTTTTATATCAATGAATTACATATTTGTAGATCGTTTAATTTTAGCAAGAGCCATCTGACATTAATCATTACGGAGTTCTGAAACGAGTGAATGAAGAGAAAACAATATTGTAGTGTATGTGTGACATGCAAAAACAACATGCATGAAATGACTTCAAAAGCAACAATAACACTCACTATGGATGTGGGGGTAGATGTGTGATGATGAAGAGAAGACTAACACACTCACGTGCATACCCTTATCGGCTATTAGCCTGAAGAATTACAGCCTCATAAAATAAAAGTCAAGATCACTCAGTGACTAATACACGTCACGAGAGACGGATGACTAGTGTTACAATTGTTCATAACACCAACTGGATCTACGATAGAGTTCATTGTTAGGTGTCTAGTTGAATAAACTAACAGATGACTGATTTCTTGTCGATTGTCGTCTCTTACATATATTTATTAATCATTAAACATCTTTCTTGATAATAATAGTAGAAACATCGACAAAGTAGTTATGAACTCAATAAAATTCTTACTCAAATTCTTGTCCATTAAAAAAGAAAATTTTAAACTTTTGTGATCAGTTTAACCATTCATAGTAGATGCTCAAAGTTTCTTCGACAAGTGTTTGTGCAATAACATTGATTCATAGACCAATGTCATTATTTTACCATATTTTCCTGTCTCGTATTTTTCACCGTCGAACGTACCATTGAAATATGGCGTATGTCGTTTATTAGTTAATAAAGTAATGGCCATTGAGTACTTTGGATCAATAACAGTACATGTTCCTGTCCAACCTGTATGACCATATGCCTCATCGGATGCATAGAGACCAAACCATGATAAAGATTTGTTATGATTTAGACGCCATCCTAATCCATATGTTGGATCATATGCATATGGTGTTAGAAATAGATCTTGTACATTTTGATTCCAAAATTTAATATTTTCATATGTACCATTATTTAACATAATTTGAGTTAGAATTGACATGTCATTTAAATTTGAAAATAAACCAGCATGTCCCGATAAACCATTCATTGAATAGAATGACTTTTCGTCATGGACTTCACCTTGTAATATATACGTACGTACATTAGGAAAGTTGATTGTATGATTACGTGTATTTCCATTTAATTCAGTGGCAGCAAAATCTGATTTTTGATAGTTTCTATTATTGAGAGGATTAAATAATGTATGTGTTAGACCTAGTTGCTGATAAATGTTAATCTTTACATATTGGTCAATTGACATTCCACTGATATGTTCCACAACTAGTCCCAAAAGCATATAATCAATATCAGAGTACACGGGTAATTGATCACCACCTCTCGGTCGTTGAAATTCTAATTTTGTTTCGATAATTTCTTCAGTTTTATACTTATCTTGTGAGAAAAAATCTGATGAAACTTTCGTTGGATCGTAAAACTTAACACTTGAAGTATATCCAGCTGTATGTGTCAATAAATCTTTTATTAACCTTGTCTCACGACATTCGTTGTCAGGATTACATCCACAATATTGAGGTATGTATTTTTTAATTGGATCATCAACATTCAATGCTCCTTGTGCAGCTAGGTGCATAAGTGCATAGTTTGTTGCATACATTTTAGTTAATGATGCCAAATCAAACATTGTGTCTAATGTTAGTAGTTGTGCTTGTTTTATTAATGTTGCATTTTCATCATATTTTAATTTATAACCATAGACAGTTTGTTTTAATATTTTACCATATCGAGTTATAATAAGAGCAGCACCGGGAAAACCTTGCTGAATTTCTTTTCCAATAAATTCATCGATCACCTCTTCATTAAAAATAATAGACTCAGAATCAGTTAATTCGATTGAAGTTATTGAGCCATTATTTACTATAAATAATATGAAATAAATATTTATAGAAAATGAAATATATCTGTAGAAGTTATGATGCATTTATTTATCTACTTGTTGATGTGATATTGCAAAGACGTACGATGCATATTTTATATTAACACGCTTTTTTTTCCGTTCTTCAATTATTTGGAAGACGGTTCGATCCACCATTTCGTTGATGACATGGTTGTTTTTTCTTTGTTATTTTTCAGTATTTAAGGAAGAAAAGAACTAAAAAACAAGTGAAATAGGTTAAAAATACGCGCACCTTTCAAGTATCACCTACAGAAATATGTCACTAAACATGTAGACGTGCTATTAAACACAAGAGTGCAAAAAATCCAAAGACTTGGCATTTGCTATTATTTGCTTTAGATTTGAGACTAAATTTGGATTTGATTTACGTTTCAATTTGGATGTGGTATAACCAGAAAAAGCCTTTTGGAATTCGAGATCAAATACTTAGGATTTGGATTTGGATTTAACCTTGTGCAAAAACATGACAAAAACAAATTCTCATGTTACAAATATCCATATTTTACCATGTGACCAATAACATTAAACAAAACACAATATAAAGTAGTTATCATTTTGACTCTTTCACAATGTGTTCTTGCTTTGCATATTATCGTCCAAACAAGTTATAATAAGATCATCAAACATTTGTGCGATAGGACAACTATAGACTCACAGCAACAAAAAAAATTCCACTAAATATACTATTTGTTCAATATATACTTCAAAATACTGCATATCCCGAAAATTTTCATCAATGTCAACCAAAATTATTCCAAGTCTTCTTACATTACAGATAAAACTCGTCTACCAAATTCTAAATCATCCTGAATATTTGAATATTTCGTGCTTGATGAGAAATGTCTGCACACGTTTCAATGCAATTATCGGCAGCTACTATCGATATCTGGTAAAATATTGTTATACATGAAAAATTTCATTTTCATCATCCTCAAAATATTTTTCATTTCTCTAACGAGGTAAGATACACAAGTGTTACGCTCTGTTTTGAATCAGGTATTTGCCATTTTATAGAGCTCAATGAGTATAACATCTGATATAAAGAGTTCGCCCCCATGCTGTACTTTTAAAGAACTACAAGGTATTATATCTTGTGAAAATCATTATGAAGCTCTTAACTGAAGATTTGAATTCTAAGAATATTATGATTT